CTAAAAATACCAGCAAGAAATTAATCCATTATTGATTTAGTATTAGCATTGCCACTAAAAAAACAATTTGGAATTAAATTATTTAAAAAAAAATTATTTAATTAATTTTTAAAACCAATAAAGTTTTTTTGGGGAAAATGAAGAAAAATGTAACAATTTGGGAAATTGTTTTATTAAAAAATTATTTCTAATAATAAAAAGACCATGCCTTTTTCGAAAGTGAAGAAAAAATGTAATTAATTCAATTTTAAAACATCAAACCACGCCTTTTTTTGAAAATGTGAAAAAAAACGCTATTGTTGAAGGAATTGAATGAAGCTTTCTTCGAAAAGGTACTCCTGTTGCTTATTGTGAAGAAGAGAAATGCAACAATTCGAAAATTTGATTCATTATTTAACAACCATGCCCCTTTTGAAGTGGCGAAGGAAATCCTCGTCAATATAAAAAATTGCGGTAGAGTGTGAATCGTAAATCGTAAAAAATAAATAAATCGTTAAAATAAACAAAACAAATAATAATAAAAACAATAATAAACAATAAAATAACATGTGTTCTATTTTTGTTGCCAATTGTTTCATTAAACATGTAACTTCCACTGAGGGAACAATCAGTGGAACTGCTCTTTATAGAAATGACAACATTTTTAGAGAAATTAGCTTCAAAGGGTATTATGATAAGGCGAACAATGTGTTGAATTTTCCAAGCATTCAATTGTTGTCCTGGTCGGGATATATGTTATGGAAGAGGGAATCGAATATGTATGTGCAGTTTTCCCCTATTATTACTATCTATGTCTAGAATTGAAAATTTTTTGATTAACTCTTCTTGATTATACATATGTATAGGTTACTCTAAACCAAACAATCATGGTTGACAAAGATGGTGAAGGTGAGGAAGACCTTCCCCACCAAGATCCATTGATTATTTTCACTGGTGTCGCGAACAATGGTTTTTTTGTTGAAAACGAGACAGGCGGAAATTTTGTCCTAAACAGGAAGCCATATAACCCGATGTCAAAGAACAAAAACATCAATTCCGAAATTTATGTGACATATGTTGATGAAAACAAGAGATATAAGACAATTAAAAACAATCTGGGCAGGTCGATAATTTCAGTTCTTGGGAAGCTGAGGATCAGTAAAACAAACAAGCAACACCTAGCAGCAAAGGAGATAGAATGGAACCTGATACCAAATGAGCCCAAGATGAACAAAGACAACAATAAAAATCATGATGATGAAGAGAAAGAACTAGAATTAATTGAAAAAAGTTTGAAAAAGTGAACAAGAAAAGGAAGCATGTTGCTCCTTCAACCTCCTCTGAGGTGTAATTCAAGAATTGAATGTGTTGCAAATTGTGTTTGGACATGATTTTAATTTTTTAATTAAAATTTAAGGTGGGGATTTTTAATTTTTTAATTTTTTTTTCAAATTCAAAAAAGAGAGAAAAAAGAAAACGACTTTCTTAAATAGTTCTCTTTGCTTTACTGATTTGGCATTGCACAAACAATTGATGATTCACTTATATTGTTTTTAGAGCAACAATTAATAATATCAATTGTGGAATGAATTCACTTTCATTTATTTATTTATTTATTTATTTATTTATACTTAATTAATACTAATATGATGTTTTCAATTTTTTTCAAAAAAAGGATTAAGTTGCAAGCAGCAAGTAGTAAGCAGTTTTTACATTTATCTTTATCTTTCACTTTTTAAATCAAGATAATATTCATTATTAATATTATTATAATTAATATATTTCATTAATTCAAAAAAAATACATGTATAAGTATAAAAAAAAAAAAATAATAAATATATAATATATTTTGGTTGTTTATTATTCATCTAGGATATCTTTGCTCATGTTATCATAAGCTTTTTCC